ATTACGACCGACTCGCGAGTCGCGATCCAAATAATCCAGTGTATCCAATATAAAAAAAAATTTGACGAACCGACGGTTCATTTTCATACGGTTCGGATCATTTCGTTCAATACATTGAATCGGATCAAACGACCCGTTCGTTCGCGAACGACACACCTCTATAGCACAAGACCAACGACTCCTTTCGTTTTGCCACGTTCACACTTGGGTATATTGTGTATTATTTCGATTTTATCACATTTGTATCGGAGGGGCACGTTAAAGATGGCGGGGAGAGCAAAAGGGGCATTTGCACTTTTGCGTACGTACAGTAAACTTCTTTATTATCCACACACGGTCAAAAAGGAACCACACAATTTTTATGATATCCGTATAAGTAATGGAAAACACAGAATTGAGAATCCACTAACAATAATAATAATAATAATAATAACAACGTACTATACGAATTATCGGTGCCGGATTTGACCATTATTCCGCTATAAATGACTGCCATTAAATACAAATATACATTTATTTTATATTATTATAAAGCTTATAACGATTTTAAAAATAATAATAACTTATAGGTATTTTGTATTTAATAATAATATTTTTAATTGAAATGTTTATATACTTTTACAGAACATTATAATGGGATAATGGAATAATGCACAACTTTTATCGTGTATAACTTTAAGTTATAACTAATAATAGTAAATAATTTAATAGAAAATGTATACTACTTATTTCATTTTTATATAGGATTCTGATACTAATGATTATATTATTCCTTCGAATAACTCACCTGAAAATCATGAAAATTACGCTTCTAATACTGATAATGTTATTGCTTCAAATAGTTTAAATGAAAATTATGACGCTTCAAGTTCGTCTGATTGGGGTCCAATAAACAATGATACTTCTAGTCCAGTGTTCAATCCTGAGTTTTTTGGAATTAACCCAGACATTCTCGAAACATTTTATGATGGTACACCATATGACTTTTATTCATTATTTATTGATGACGAAGTTTTAAATTTATTATTGATTGAAACTAACAGATATGCTCGTAATTTACTACTTTCAACTCCTCGTGGTCCAAAATCTAGACTCAATAAATGGGTTGATGTTGACATAGTGGAAATCAAGACATTTTTGGGAATAGTTATGTGGATGGGGTTAAATCCACTACCGTCTTTAGCAAATTATTGGTCCAAAAATGAATTATATCAAACACATATTCCTAAGTATATGACCAGAAACAGATTTGAGTTGCTTTTGAGAACTTTTCATTGTTCAAACAATCAAACATGTCCTAGAGGTGATGGATTGTATAAAGTTCGTGGTTTGGTTGATTTGCTAGTGAGTAAATATAAAATATGTTATATACCAGGGGAAAATATGTGTATTGACGAATCGGTGATTCCATTTGTTGGTCGTTTGTCGTTCCGTCAATACATAAAAAATAAAAGGCATCGATACGGCATAAAAATATTTAAACTATGTATAAATGATGGGTATACTATTGGATTTAAAATATATGCTGGTCAAGAAGCTATCCCGGGAGTGGCAGTTTCAACAAAAATTGTTATGGAGTTAGCTGCAGATTATTTAGATGAAGGAAGAACCATGTTTACTGATAACTGGTACACATCAGTCAGTTTAGCAAATTAACTTTTAAGCCGATCCACAAATCATGTAGGGACATTACGTTCGAACAGGAAGTTTAACCCAAAAGACGTAATAAACGCAAAATTAAAGAAAGGTGAAATTAAATCAAGGCAAAATGATAATAATATGGTAGTGATGAAATGGAAGGACAAACGCGATATACTTATGTTATCAACTAAACATAAAGACAATTTAATAGAAACGACTAATAAACGTGGACAAAAATTATTGAAACCACAAATGGTAATAGATTATAATAAGGCAAAAAGTTATATCGATATTTCTGACTTGAGAAATTCTTACCATTCACCACTTCGAAGTTCTACTTAATACTAGTTTATTAAATGCTTTAACATTATTTACCGCTGTTACTGACAATAAAATGGGTATGCAGAATTTAGGGAAGAAATAGTTACAGCTTTACTAACAAAAAATAACATCCCAATGATACCCACACCAACTGAAAGAGAAGAACACAAGATTGTTAATTCTAAACGCAGTAAATGATCAAATTGTTACTCGGAAATGTTTCAGCAAGGTGGAAGAACACACGCACAAAAAATTACACGTAAAGTTCAAACAATGTGTACAGGTTGTTCTAAATATTTCTGTTTAGATTGTTTCTTCAAAACACATTCAACAAAAAAAATTTAATTTTATGAAACGTATTATTTTTTAGTAAGTAGTACTTTTGTTATATTTATGTTTGACTAAAAAATTTTTAAGATTATAGTATTAATACAAGTTGTATAATTTTTTTTTTTTTTGATAATTACATTTTAATATTAAAAAAACATTAAATTTGAGCGCTGTTTGCATTATTTAGTTTGAAATTTTCTCCTCTTTCTATTTCATTAAACGAATTGAGCATCAGAAATGGTTCTCAGTGACATAATCACGAAAAATAGTGAGTACCAAATTTGACCCTCAAAGCCTGAGAGTCAAACCGTGTGAGTACCAGATATGGTACTCAAAGCCTGTAGAACAAAGCGTGTTTAAAATGTGTGGCGCAGAAGACAAACCATGTGAGTACCAAATATGGTACTCATGGCAGCCAACTTGTTAAAGAGTAGAATATTGAGATCATCACATCACCATACGTCATTGATAGGACCCATAAATACGGGTGGAGCACCTAGCATTTGTAGAGAAGGTAGTAAACCATAGACTTGTGCACAACAAGCTTACGACAGTGAGTTTTAGATTTTATTTTAATTGTTTTAAAATTGTACAAATAAAATAAACATTTTATTTGTAACTTCTAAAGTAAAGTGTTCTTTTATTTTTAATATACCTACCTTCCTCAGTACGTCTCATGACTACGTCGAACGTGCTACGTCGTTTAAATAATAATCGTGGTACTGATCGCAGTGTCCTGCACACAGTGATCACTACAGTTTCATGCTATATATTATTGTCGATGCACGGATAGTAATATTTTAATATTATTTTCCTAAATTGTACTTTTGTTATTAAAAAATGTTTTATGCTCTAATATCAAACACATTTTTTTTTTCATTCATCATGTTATAGTTATTTATTATTTTTGTCCAATAAATATTGTTGCGTCCCGTTAAACAACGCCGATTCATATATCCATATCCACGCGGAAATGAGAATACTGATATATTAAATATATAGTAAATCTTTATTTAAATTATACTTAGATATAAAAATACACTATTGTAAGTACAAGATGTTGATGAGCGGTGTTACGACCGGCCTCAGATATACTGATAACTAGGGCATGAATAATGTAGTACTAAAAAACTAGTAAAATTAATTGCAGTATTGCACTTAAAATATTAAAAATTGTTCTAAAAAGTTGTAATTTTTTTTAAATTTTAAAAATCCAATGTCTTCGATTTAAAGCCAATGAATTTTTGTACCTTGAAAAACTTCATCATTCTACATCGGTTGACATTAGCGGAGCGCACTTAAAATAAACTAAATTGTTTACCGCCAAATCGTCAGGTAAACAATATTTACAAAACTGTTTAAAAAGTATTAAAGAAGTGAAATGATGTGAAAAACTTAAATAAAATTATTAAAATTGTTTTATAAATGAGTAAATTCAATAAAATTGCAATAGAAATTAAAAATTTCAAAAATTTGAGAAAATTGCAATTAAAACTTTTAGATTTTAGTTCGTACTTACATGACACACATTTTAAACTTACTAAGCAATTAATTAAAAAAGTGGAAAAAAAGTTGCAAATTTAACAACATTTGTACCTACTGATAACCAAAACAGTGAGTAGTGTTACGACCTGCCTCAAAACATCTTGCATATCCCTAACCGTCTGGCGAGTTCTTGCTCATGTTGCCCTTATAAATGGTCTGCACACAATGAGAGTCGACGGCGGAGGTAGTAACTTACGATGACACGTGCACCCTCGATCCACGATTTGTATTTTTATAAGTGAGATAGCCCTCGTCTTTTCACAGTTGTGATGTTTTCTGAGAAGTCCGCAGTGTGTAGTTGTGTTTTAATTGCTTACCTAATTAAATAATACAATGCTTCACACCCATCCGTCCTAGCCTTTCATTAGCTGTGTCATTCGCTACACGGATCATGTGTCACCTCGTTAAGTGAGTACATGTGTTATAAACTATTGATATTATTACGTGGTCTGTGAATATATAAGTATAACAATAAAATATTCAATATTATTACAGGGCCTGTGATATAAATTATCAGCGTTATTACAAGGTCCGTAACAATATAAAAGTGGTGTAATTAAAAATAAAAATCTTAGTAATTTGAGTAGGTAATTTGGACGATGCTCGAATTCGTCCTGACTATCAAGATTTTATACTGTGGTTGTGTTACGGCCTACGGGTGAATATGCAACGTGTAGATACATTACCTAAATCTTCAGATGTTCATAAAAATTTTAGTTTGAATTTCCAGTCGCAGTTTTGTTTTTAATATAGGTTGAACAACTTATAAAGAACATTGCATTTATTATTATTTTGAGTATTTCATCTACTAACATTTTTTCTATTGAAAATTATAAAATTATATTTTATACCCAGCTTATTTTTATTTTTTATTATTTTATCAAATAAATTGTAGCCTGAATCAATAAATACAAATAAAATTAAAACTAAATAGTGCCTATAAATTAATACAGTCAAACTTGGCTTACTCGAAGTTGAAGAGACCGGAAAAAAGTTCGAGTTATCCAATTAAAAAATTTTTAAGACAGTACAAAATATATTAATTGCTATGTATTTATTAAAAATAAATTAATGTAATAAAAAAAATATTTACTATGTATTTATACATGACTTATGTATATATAATTTTAAAAAGGTATGTGTGTATAAACAAAAATGAGGTTGAAAAATATTTAAAAAAGATATTTATTTTTGTTTGAATTTTGCTGTTAATCGCAGCGTTTGTAATGATTCGTTATAAACCACTTATCAGTAACGATAACATTAACATGGGTACACTTCGAGTATTTAGTTGACTTCTTTCGTAATTATAATACATGTATTATTTTTAAATACAACAAATGAAATGTCGCATTTAAGTCATATACTTGGATATGGGCTCTAAAAATATAAAATAAATTCGTTATTAGTTATTACTATTAAATTCATAATATGAATATATAATATATACGTAGGTATATATACATTATATAACTAATAAACAATTTTTTTTTTATTGAATATATTTTTCATCATAAATATTCCAATCAAGTGTATGACCACAGACCTTGAAAAAATAAATCTACTAAAAATTTATAACAGTAGACAAAGAAAAAAACATGCATTAAAATGCACAAGTACTTACCTACTAATCATTCCAGCAGCAAAAATAATAGAGAGTAACTCTCTGCTTTCACAACTTAAGTCATTCATGTTTGATACTTAAGTACAAAATTAAATATTTTTCTGTTGACTGTAATTTGATCCAACCATTATCAAGTTCTAAACAATATTAAAGTAAAATAAATAAAAATATTATTCGTATACACCAGATATAACTACACAATTACTTTTTAAGAATGATTACTAAATATTCCGATTGAAACATAAGCAGGAAGTTTCTCTATACATATTTTCATGATATTCCACATAACTTATATAACTGTCATTCATAAAGCACTAAATAATCTATTTTTTGTTTATGTCTTTGTATACATCAAACCTAATTATTATTATCTCCTAAACAATGTTTAAGTACAATCAATTACAATTTCATTTATACATTTTAAATAACTAAGCAATTACCGTTTTAGGAATGGAAGATTAACCACGGAGTACTTCCAAGTTTACAGTTAATTTAAGCTACAATTTCGTACACACAAAAAAATCGTTCTTTAGCACATTCCTTTATTTGATTACTTGGGATGGTACTGAAAATAAATATTCATGATAAATGCATTTAATTATATGTGCAATAAAATCTTATAAATTTAATAAAATCATATATTATACCAGAAATATACCCACTTTATTAACACATTATTTTCGTTTAATCGTCCCATAAATATCATTGCATAACGACGTAATAAAACATGAAACCGATGCCGGATTCGATTCATCAGTCACATCTTCGAGATGTCCAAAAAATATATTTCATCATTCATGGGGGCTCTAAAATTATACAGATGAGTTTTCAAGCAAATAATAAAGTAAAAAATATTTACAAAACAGGTTTAAGCTTAGGTAGTACGAATTTTATATTTTGTGCGACCTGTAGGATGTACAGTTCAATCGTTTTCGAAAACACCTTACATATTTTGTCATTTTTTGAAATGTTCTGTATATTTTTGTATTTTACGATTTTTTTATTGCATATATCGTCGTCGTCATGCAAAAACTGACCACATGCAAAAAGTGACCAAGTGAAATAACATTATCAAATTTAATGTGTTATTTGAACCATATTATTGTACGGAAAAAATGACCAAGTTATATGATCAATATTTTTACGAAATATAGAAAGACAGTTTTGACCAACTGCAGATTTTTTAACTATTTTCCTAGCAAAAAGTGATCAAGTTATTTAGTCATTTTTCGCATGTTAACATCAAGTATATTTAAAAATATTGTTTAAGCAAAAAGTGACCAAGCCTTAATCCAAAGACATGGTTATAAATTATGAAAATCACATCCGAAGACGTGATGAATCTTTTGCTTCTAAAAAATTAGACAAAGAACGAGCTACAAAAAATAACCAATATTTTTGTAGTGCCATTTGACCTTCAACGTCTTCTCCAAATTCCAAGTTCTGAAGTATCAGCCATGTAATATAGTAGAAAACTATGTGTATATAATTTAACATTATATGAGGCTGCTCCACTAAATAATGCATTTTGCTTTTATGGACAGAAGTCAACGGTCAAAAGAAGCTCTAGGATGAATCAGGCATTGAAAGTGGATTTATCAACTTCCTGAAAGTATTAGAGATTTCTTATTCTGATACACGCAATGGCAACACAATCAATTTATTGCTGCATTATTTTATGCTTATAACTCATACAAAGGTTTAGTACTACCATAACTTTATGGAGTGGTTACCTTATATGGAGGTGGATAGCATGCACGTACAATTGATCACTAAAAATGTACCAGTCTAACCATATGATTGTTAAATATCATCGCTAACTCGTCTCAAAGAAATAATAAAAATGTTCTGGGTACTCGGTTCGCATGAATTATTATACACAGATATTATAATCTAAAGTCTAGCCGATATTTTAATGAAGGAATTTATTGAAACTTTGGTGCTCAAGTCTTGGTTAAAAATAAAGTCATGAGTAGAAAAATAAAAGGGATAATACAGTTCAAATACAATTACTCAGACAATGAATATAGGTATACATGTGGGCGGAAAAGGTAGAGCCTTCAAAATTTCCGAAAATTTAAAGTGTTGTACGATAAACCACTAAAAATATCAGAAATAAAAAGATCTCATGAAGCTATGTAAATCTGAAGCTTCCAAAGACTTTCATAGTGGTATCAATATTCTTTCCAGTTCGAAGAAGGATACTACAAATATCAGTTCTGTCAGATTAAGATAGTATATTATTATATTTACTGTTATTTTGAATTGATTATTATTATTATATTTAACAAAGTTGACTATTATTTTTATTTTATTTTATTTTAAACAAAGTTATCTTATTATTTATTTATTTTTATTATATTATAATGAATAATATTTACTGTTAAAACAAATATTTGGTTTAATAATAATATTATATAGTTTAAATTGTTTAGCCTAGTTATTGATATTATTCAATTATACTATATCAAATAATACGCATTACCTTCCATATTTTAAAACTACTTATTTAATACTATTAATAATATATTGATATATATTGTTATTTTGTATATTTATTACTATTCAAATTTTAATGTAATAGAAAACATGTAATATGGAAAAATGATCAAGTGCTTATTATGCCACTTCGTCATTTTACCATTTAAGATTGAACTTTTAAATTAAAACTTAGAGCAAATAAATTAAAATGATTTAACATAATATTAATTATATACAGCATCACGGTTATGGCCGTAACTTCT